TACAAATTTAAAATTTTAAAACCTTTCGAAGTCATTAACTCAATAATTTACTTCTAATGTCAAAACTTATGCTAATGATGCTGGGCTTAACTCTTTACTCAAAAAATTTTAATTTAAAATAAAAAATTTATGATGATTCTCAAAATACTTTTTAAATTTGAGGTCCCATCTGATATAGGACAATCTCTTATCATCAAAATTAAATTTAATAGATTTCTTCTAATTAAAAGGATAAAAAAACCAATCTCTCAAAATCCTGAATTTTGAAAACTACCCTCTCCAACCTCCACTCACTTCCCTAATGCCCTTTGACGTCACAAAGACCTCCCTACCACCCAGTCCCTATCCACTGTTAGTTCGGGCCATAATTTAATTGTCTACATAATATATCAACCTCAATGGTAGACTGTTCCCTGTATCAGATTGGTCACCATTAAAAAGGTGGGTCATTCGCCAAAATAATGGAAAGCAAACAAATAAGAAAAAAAAAGGAAGAAGACGGAAAAAAGCTAATGAATTTCCCATTTTGTGTGGATACATGACATTCAATTCTTAGCTGATGAAGGTAGCTTAATAATGATTATTTAATCATGTTTTTTGTTTCCTTTTATCATTAAACTTTATGATACCTACAAGCAGTTAAATGAGTTGGTAGAAAACTCTTTCAATTTAACCAGAAATCTTCATTTTAAATCTTAAAAATGCAACTCTATTAAAATTTATGAGGGGATTTTGCTGCCCAATGGGTCTTATCCAACTTAAATTTGGATTAATTGATGATTTAATGAGCTTTTAGATATTAAATGATCCATATAACAAAAAATAAATTTATGATTGGGAAAGAAAAAAAGGTTCCTTAAAATAAAAATCCTAAATTTCGAAAAACAAAATTCTTTCTTTAAGCCTTCAATATTGACTTTATTTTTGCATTTTCTCTATTTTTTTTTCTTTACCTTTTCTATGGATTTATAGCATTTTAGCTTATTTGCTACCCACCTACCATTTTCATAAGCCCCTCACTTTAAAAACAACTTGTTTCCTTGATTCTCTGAAAGAAACTACCTAACTTCGTATAGTTTTAATTTTTCTTTTTTTAATCTTAAATTACAACCCTTCTACCCCTTTTTAATTTTTATCCCTTCAAACTTTTAAAGAACCCTGTGTTCGATGAATTGATTTATACTTTTCTTTCTTTTCTACACGACTTCATGCATAAAGTTCCTGGAGGTTTTAGGGTAAGGGGACTGGGAAAATGATAACATCCACAGTGGCATCGAATATTGAAAATGCATCCGCTTAATTCCCTTTGAAAGAGAAAGATCACCTGCTTTTTGAGCTAAACTTTGTAGGGTTTCATCAATGATCTGTACATTAGGTCCCCACTTGACTTTGGTTTACATGAATTTCAGAAAATACCTTACGTGTTACGTTTTCATCTCAATCTATATATGTGAATGTGTCCATGGATTGTTGCTTTATTGGTCAATTATGTTACTGTTGTTTCCATTTGATGCTTCGTGGTATATTCCAAGGCACTTGCCAAACAAAATGATTTATGAATCAGAATTTTAACATTCATTCTGTAATTCTTTATATGATCAGTGATGATACAAAGATAATCATTCTATATTATTTTTTAATGTAATTTTTATATATTATTAAATAAAATAATATATTAATATTACAAATTTTACATAAATAAAAATATTAATTATTTAAATAATAAATAAAATTATATAAAAAAATAATATTACATGATTATGTTATGTGACATAATATTTATTATTATGTGATTAGTAGCAGTAATTAATTTAACATAATTAAAATTAAAATTTATAATTAATCCCATAAATGTTGTGTTGTTCTTTTTGGGTACATATAAAAATAGATTATATAAGAATTTTTCTTTTATCCAAGGTAAAATTTAAACTTGAGATATCAAATTAAAATATTAAATTTTTTATTTTTTATCCAAGAGAAAATTTAAACTTAAGATATTAAATTAAAATATTAATTTTTTTTTTATCAATTGAGTTATCCATTTGAGTTATGTTCTGTCTTACTCAACACAATCAATCAACAATTGAAAGAAAGTGTCGCATAGAGTGGCTAGTGTTTTTCTTAATTTGTAAATTGAAATTTCAACAACTATTTCCATTTATTCAATTCAAAAATAATTTAAAAATACTAAGGACTACTCATACAATCACCCCCACAAAAATTACATCCATGTGCCTGAATATCATCCTTTTCCTTCTCCCTTTCGGAACATAACCACCAGAATCTCACGTACGTTTTCCGTCTATTTCATCTCAATTCTTCTTTCGCCCCACCTCTCCTACCGCCACTTTTGTCTTCTTCTTCGCTCCTACTCCGTCTCTCTCTATTTCATATCAAACACTCTCTTGAATCTTGAGTAATCTTGATTAAGCTCTACGTTTCCGGTCACCATGATGAAACTGGTGGTGGAAGTGCTTGACGCCATGGATCTCATGCCCAAAGACGGTCAGGGGTCGGCGAGTCCGTTTGTGGAGGTGGATTTCGACGAGCAGCAGAAGAGGACGCGGACCAAGGAAAAGGACCTGAACCCTGTTTGGAATGAGAAGCTTGTTTTCAGTGTCAGCAATCCCAGAGATCTTCCCAATAAGGTGATTGAAGTTGTTGTGTTTAATGATACGAAAGCCAGTAACGGTCACCACAGGAATTTCCTGGGTCGGGTCAAGATTTCCGGCAGCTCTGTTCCATTTTCTGAGCCGGAATCTACAATTCAGAGGTACCCACTTGATAAAAGAGGTCTCTTTTCTCGTATTAGAGGGGATATTGCGTTGAAGGCTTATGTAGTTCAGGACGGGTCAGGGTCAGTGTCAGGTCCTCCTCCCACAGAAACAGAGTACCCCAGCAGTGTTCATGCTGAACCTGACTATCATCATGAAGAAACTTCGTTTGAAGAAATTAACACTAATAAGATTGATGAAGGTTTTAGAGTTGAGGAGAAGAAGAGCAAGAAGAAGGAAAAAGAAGTGAGAACTTTCCACTCGATAGGGACTGGAGGAGGCGGTGGTCCTCCTCCCGCTGCGGCTGCTCCACCTCCCATGCCTTCTGGGATTGGATTCACAAAGGCACCGGTGATGGAAACCAAAACTGATTTTGCTCGAGCAGGACCAGCACAGGCGGCCGTGATGCAAGTGCAGGGACCGCGGCAGAATCCAGAATACGGTTTGGAGGAGACAAGTCCGCCTCTGGCAGCGCGTCGGCCATACAGGGCAGGGGATAAGCTGGCCAGCACTTACGATTTGGTGGAGCAGATGCATTACCTGTTTGTGCATGTAGTGAAGGCAAAAGATCTCCCTGTCATGGATATTTCAGGTAGCCTTGATCCTTACGTGGAAGTGAAGGTTGGGAATTACAAGGGCGTAACGAAACACTTGGAGAAGAACCAGAATCCAGTATGGAACCAAAAATTCGCCTTCCCCAAGGAAAGATTGCAATCGAATCAGCTTGAAATTACTGTGAAAGATAAAGATATTGGGAAGGATGATTTTGTGGGGAAGGTTTTATTTGATCTGTTGGAGCTACCTCTTCGAGTTCCACCGGACAGTCCATTGGCGCCGCAGTGGTACAGATTGGTGGACAAGAAAGGGGAGAAGGTGAACAAGGGGGAAATTATGCTGGCGGTTTGGATGGGAACACAAGCAGATGAATCATTTCCTGACGCATGGCATTCGGATGCGCACAACATTAGTCATTCCAACCTTTCCAACACAAGATCAAAGGTGTATTTCACTCCGCAGCTGTATTACCTTCGAATTCATGTCTTGGAAGCACAAGATCTCGTCCCATCTGAAAAGGGCAGATTACCGGATGCATTTGTCAGGGTGCAGCTCGTAGGTCAGTCGAAAGCAACCAAGCTTTGCCCGAAAACAATTAATCCGAAGTGGGTGGAATTAGAAGAATTCATATTTGTAGCCTCCGAGCCTTTTGAAGATTTTATATTTGTGTCTGTTGAGGACAGGGTTGGACCCGGGAAGGAAGAGATTCTAGGGAGGGTGATCATTCCGGTCAAGGATGTACCACAGAGGCATGAAATAGTTAAGCTTCCGGAACCCCGTTGGTTCAGTCTGCACAAGCCTTCAGCTGCGGATGAAGGAGAAAAGAAGGAGAAGAAATTCTCAAGCAAGATACTGCTTCAAATTTTTCTAGAAGGAGGGTACCATGTTCTTGATGAGTCCACACATTTCAGTAGTGATCTCCGGCCATCATCGAAACCCCTTAGGATTAGGAAACAGAAAATTGGGGATCTTGACCTTGGGATTTTAAGTGCCAAGAATTTACCGCCGATAAAGATCAAGGACGGTCGGACAACAGATGCATACTGTGTAGCCAAGTACGGGAACAAATGGGCGCGAACCAGAACCCTTCTTGATATTCAGGCTCCTCGGTGGAATCAGCAGTATTCCTGGGAAGTTTATGACCTATGTACTGTAATCACCATTGGCGTGTTTAACAACGCCCACATCAACGGGAGCAAAGATGATGCCAAGGATGAACGAATTGGAAAGGTTAGGATCCGGCTATCCACGCTCCAAACCAATCGGGTTTATACCCATTACTACCCCCTGCTTGTTCTGCAACCTTCAGGTTTGAAGAAAAATGGGGAGCTTCAACTGGCAATACGGTTCACTTGCACAGCTTGGGCCAACATGGTGACACAGTATGGCCGGCCATTGCTCCCCAAAATGCACTATGTTCAGCCAATTCCACTTAAGCACATTGAATATCTTCGTCATCAGGCAATGGTGATAGTGGCAGCGAGGTTGGGAAGGGCAGAGCCACCGCTGAGGAAGGAGGTCGTGGAGTACATGTTGGATGTGGACATCCATATGTGGAGTCTAAGGAGAAGCAAGGCTAATTTCAATCGCATAACGTCACTTCTTTCTGGGGTGACCAGAGTTTGCAAGTTTCTTGAAGATATCTGCTACTGGAGAAACCCGGTGACTACGTGTCTCGTGCACGTGTTGTTCTTGATACTTGTTTTTTACCCTGAATTGATCTTGCCCACGATTTTTCTGTACTTGTTCGGGATCGGAATATGGAACTACCGGTTCCGGCCAAGGCACCCGCCTCACATGGATGTTCAGCTTTCCGGTGCATTGAACGTGCATCCGGATGAACTGGATGAAGAATTTGACGCGTTTCCAACGAAACAGCAATCGGAAATTGTCAGGATGAGGTATGATCGGCTGCGGAGCGTGGCCGGGAGGGTGCAGACAGTGGTCGGAGATTTGGCATCCCAAGGAGAGAGAGCGCAGGCAATACTGAGTTGGAGGGATCCAAGAGCAACGGCAATCTTTATCATCTTCTCGTTGATCTGGGCAGCTATCATCTATGTCACTCCACTCCAGGTGGTAGCAATTCTGATTGGACTCTACTGGCTCCGGCATCCCCGGCTCAGGAGCAAACTGCCATCTGTACCTGTCAACTTCTTCAAGAGATTACCATCAAAGTCAGATATGCTACTATGATCAGTTTACAATTCATCAATCACTGTTTTCAGTAAAGAAGCTTCAGAAAATAGTATATAATATGAAATAAAGCTTCAGCAAATAGTATATAATATGAAATAAAGCTTCGCTGTTCCTCACCATCAAAAGAATCTCATTTTTGCTTCCAAGCTTTCCCTGAATATTCTTTTCTTTTTGGCTGTCATCCTGTATTCTGTTCAGCATTGTAAAGCTTAAGAAAGTACTACCATTAACAGACTCAACAAACCATGTGTCACAACAAAGTGAATCTCTTGTTGATAAATCCGCGTCAAAAATGGTACAGATGTAATCATAAATCACACAACAGTTCCATATAGGGCAATCATTGTTCAAACTGAATTACTTCAATTCAAACAAAAAAGATGTTCATGATTCATTGGAAGACATGATCCTAAACCCAAGACGTATCACAACTGCAATAATTATGGAAAAGCTGACAAACATTCCCCCGAGAAGAGCCCTATCAATAATTCCCCACTCGCTCATGTTTCCTAGGACCCAGATTTGCTTTTTCTTTAGCCTCGGGGTAATTCCATCTTCTTTCATTTTCTGCACATGATTTCTCCGCCTCCTTAGAAACCATCCAATCAGATTTTTGCTGTTTCTATCTTCAATCCAACTGTTGTTCTTGGAAACTGTGCATTCCTCGGAAGTAAGTTGTGCTTCACAGCTATCTGGTCTGCAAGAACAAGGTTCTGGCTCATTTGAACAAGCATAGCTCGCATATGACTTGCAACAGGCAGAAGAATTTTCCTGATTAGGTGTCCTCTTTGTTGGAACTGTGTTTAGAGTCTCAATCACTTCACCAAAAACTGACCATCTTCCTACAGACGTTATCTTCACAATGGCTGAAGCGCCCAGCAAACTTTCTGGACCAATTACGAGGACCTGCACATATCCCTTGGTATGGCCAACCTTAGGCAATGAAGCAAAGAGGAAAGTTAGATATTTGAAAAATATTGAACAACAGATAGCATAGAGTTAAATTAGTAAACTCAGAAACAATCACACATTAAGGCTATAGTCTTAGAAGAAATGTTTAGAGAAATATTCACTCAAACTCTAAACAGTGAACTGGACTAGAAGTATTATTTAAATGAATGAGTCATCAAAGTCAATAACTAAATTGGGAAGTGCTTTAACATGCCATACAAACTACAAGGAAAAATAAGCTAATTTCATGACTAGCATCCATCAAACACAGACTGATTTATTTTTACATGTTAAACTAGCTTCCAAAGGTTCAACCCAAACAATTTTGAAGCAAAGCAAGATCGACAAGCAACAATAGTCCTAGACCTTAGATGATAAAAAGTAAAAGCACATTAAAATGCCGTCTTCCAAATACAACTTCAACAGATTTGGCTTTTGTCCAGTCTTGCAATGATAAATAAGGTGAATTTGAACAACTAGTTCACAGACAGTAATTGAAGAATCATCAAGGTGCATGAAGTATATAAATGACAGCAGAGAGGCTCACTAAGTGAATTCCATCAGTTGCAATTTCAGTAATCCATATTCTTTCGACTCTGCCCTCCATTCCATTATATGGTGTAAAAGCTTCAAAAACAGAAGTCAATTCACGGCTTCGTTTCTTAACTATTGTACTCGGGACCTTTTTCATTCTTGCAGCAGGTGTCCCTGGTTTTGAAAAAGAAAGAACAAATGAACAAACTGTGAAACATTGTGCCCTATTTATATTTCCTCTTGACATCCATGCCATAGTCTCATACCCCCATTCACCAAGGCCTCTATTAACTTGCTATTTCTGAATCTAATCTTTGACAATTAAGATGGCATCAAATAAGGAAATTGCCATTAGTTTTCCTGAGAATACGAAACTATAATAGTTAATTACATGCTATGGTTCTAAACAAAGTAAAAGGCACATGCAGGTGCATTCATTTGGCCTAGGATGTTTAAAAATGATAAGAGAAATGATGGCCTCTTGGGCCTCTTAAAAATGGATTCCAGATAACTTTTATAATAGAATCAAGAAGCTTTGCTGGCTAGTTATAAGCTTTAATGTTTTTATGTCTCTTCTCCTCAAATTCTAGAGAAATTATTGTCTTGAACTTCCTTCAAGCGATGGAAAACATAAAAAGAATAAATTATAATGAATGAAAGGCAGCCATATGTTATAGAATAGGGACTACATACCAGGTCTAGGGTAGAATTGTGATATGTGAACTTGTGGAAACTTGTATTCTTTTACAAGGTTGACTGTTTGAGCAAAATCTCCATCAGTTTCACCTGAAATACCCACATGCATATTATTAAGTAATTATTTTTCAACTTGATCCAGAAGGAATTTACCATAGAGTAGAATACTTAGATATCCTCCTAATTTTCCAGAAGGTCCCTCCCATATCCTTATTCTTCAAATTTTTTCATGTAAAACAGTATGAATGACAAGAAATGCTTGTTTTTTAATCTCTTCTTTTTGGCAGGTAATTATGACATTTAATCCTGCCTGCAGGAAGAATATACAAATATACCATCTTTAAAGGGTCCTGTGGCCTTATTAATTATTAGTTTACTGGAGGAGAAAGGAAATCGAAGACAAGTAATTACATACTAACCAGGAAATCCACAAATTATGTCAGTTGCAATCTGCATCCCTGGCACAAGTTCATTCAAGGTATCTACCACAGTCCTGAACTCACTCACTGTATATTCCCGATTCATTGCCTGAAACAACAAAAGCATTCCTAAAGCTAAGGTGATTATGTTGTATTTAGTGTTTAAGGCATTTACCACTGATTGGTACATGTATTCTTGATTAAATGATGCAGTTACTAAAAGATTGCAGTCTTACAAACAATTTTGGACTTACAGTCAAGATAGCATCACTACCAGATTGAACTGGTACATGAAGGAAGGAGTATACACATGGATGACGCAGAACATCTGCTATCTCTTTCAAATGTTCAAGAATATAAGGAGGATTGGTCATCCCAATTCGTAGCATCGTACTTCCATCAGGAGGAAGTTCAGCAACAATAGCATTCAATAAAGTTGGAAGGTTAGCCCCAATGTCACGACCTGCAAGATTCCATTGACACATTGTCCATTAATAAGCCCTCTCCAAACTATCAATTAAAGAGGTGGAAAATCTTCAAACATGATGTTTAAGGTACATCGATTCTAGAACTGTATAATATAGTTAATTTATCTAAGAAGAACAATCAGTGCATGGACAGATACCACTTCTGATATGTAATGTTATCAACATCAACAGGTTTAAAGCACCAAATTGTGAAATTATGAACCTTCTATCAGAGCTTCGTCAGTTCTTCTAAAAACTAGAGACCATAGGAACATCCAACAAATAGTGTACAAACAAGAAGAAATTACCATATGCGCCAGTGTCTTCACTGCTCAGCCATATCTCCCTGACTCCATCAGCTATGACAGTTTTCACACGCCCAACCTACAGGATTAAAAATGTTAGTAAGACTAGAATAAAATTCTAATAAACATTATTTTCCATCCTCTGAACTTACAAGACTGTCAACAGTGTAGCTCCCCAAATGACCCCGAGCATGCTTTGTCTTGCAATAAGTACAAGCACCTAAACAACCAACATTAATTGGAAGAATCTCAATAAACTTGTTTTTTCTGACCTGTTGGAGAAAATTTAAGTTAAAAGTTAATTCTTATGAAAACAAACCACATCTGTATGCTAGGTGGCAATTACACGTAATACATGAACACAAGGTGAGACAAAAATTGCATTAATTAAAGAAGGCCAACTACTTGATAGACACAGCCACATAAAGAACTACCACTTAAAAATGAAATTGAAATGGCAATAACATAATATGATGAAGACGTTGTACCTTTGGGAGATCTAGGGCTGGCAAAGTCTTGCGGGTCAAAAGCCGCACCTCGTGACCTTTCAGAGTTTCTTCTACTACTTCAACTACACGATCAATTTGCTGCACTCCGACTACACTGACCCCTTCTAGCTCCTTAGTATCTCTACTTCCTTGAGGCACACACCCAGCCACTACCAGTGGCTTTCTTGCTTCTTTACATTTTGATATTAGTGTGTTCATAGCTGACTGACTTGGGGATTTTACTGTGCATCTGAATCAGATAATAGGAATGAACCACAAAAAACAAAATTATGCACATAATTAGAATGTCAAAACCATACACATTTAATCCTTCCATTGTAATCGATAACCAGCACAGTTCAAAGTTATTTTTTCCATCTTAACTACCTTTTTTTTTTTTCAGTAACTGTTATTTTCCATTATTAAGACTCAAAACAACATTATGAAGCTTGTTAACATTAGACTTTTACCATTGCAACATTATTACTCGGAAACAAGAGAGAAACTTATTGGAAAACATTTCTTTTTTCATTTGGGTAGGTGGTACCAGAACAATATAGAATAGAATTATGAATACTGCAGTTTAGTAAAAAATTGATGACAAACAAACAACCAAAAGAGGAACAAAGCTTTACGTGTTTATTAGCCACAGGTCACCCTCCTCAGGATTATCAGTTAAAGCATAACCAAATGCCGAAAGCTGACCCGCCATATATTCGCTATCACTCTGACATCAGGATAAAATGAAATGTAAAAAAATTGAAGAATTGCAGTTTACAATCAATTAGTACTTAAGAGTTAAAGTCTTCAAAGCTACACATTATATGAAATTCATCTAGTTAAAAGGAAAATACTAATGTTTCTTTGAAATAAAACCACAAAAATGTAGCTAATAAAAACTGATTTCTGCTCTGATGTATCTCTTTATTTTTAAACTTAAACAACTTCCTCAATTCCACGAGCATCTAGCTGAAAACTTTCAAAGCAAATTTAAGACCTAAATCAATCCAAAGGAATTAGAAAATAACAGATCAAATTAGAAAGCTTGCCTGGTTATGCGAACACCCAAAAGTCTTGATATATATAGTCTGTAACAGAAAAAAAAAAAAAAATTCAGATTACAGTCTTCAGTATATACATATAAATCGCTACAGAGAACGAGGAGGAGAAGACCTGAGTGCCAGGGATTTTGGGGGAGCTAATATCATGGATTTGAGAGAGCTTAGCGTTGGCAGGATTCGATTTGTTCTTATTCCGCCGGGGATTTACTCCGACAGCGTTCAGTGGTAACCTGAAACCAGGTGGAGCACCGCCGCTGCCGATCAAGAGATCCTCTATATCCTCCATTTTCGTAGAAAACCCGCCGGAGGAAAGAAGGTTTTACTTACAGTTGCAATAAAGCTTGGCGGCCGACGACCGAGTATTTTCATTTCGATATGATCCGACCCGTACATGGGATACATGGTCAAGAGTCTGGACTCAGGACCCAAAAGGGACAAAAGGCCCAAATCCAAAAAGCTAAAGGGCTCAAATCAGCCCAACAAGGTGGGATTATTT